AGCATTTCAGAACGATTCACCAGTACATCTGCATCACACTTCTAGCAGGTCCGATGTTGAGAGAGAAAACACAAAATAGAAAGAACTGACTTAGCAAGCTGACTGTCTTTGAAGCGACGTACAAAAAGAAATTACACCACTAAAATTGTTTCAGAAAAGAAACTTAAACAGAACATTATTTCTTTTACTTTAACATAAAAAAGGGCTATTTTGAACCAACGTTTCAAAAGAAGGTCCAATGACTACTAGTAATAGGCTAAGTGGGTTATACAGGGATAAGAAGAACTTGCCCTATTATCACGACGCGTGCATTAACAGAGTTACACTTACCGTATCTCCAAAACTCTCACTACATCACAGATAATAATATACTATAAGGCCTCGCCTCTCACATAATTCAAGCTGAGCTGAAAGGGGTGTAAAACTTAAAGTTAAAAAAAAATTGTTTACAAATGTCATCCCTGATAAAAAAGGTGCACATCTTCATTGATCCACCAACAAATGTAACGTGCCAGTAAACATTCAACGCCATTCAAACTATCAAAAAAATCATCATTTCACATTAATTTCTTAGCTTTCAAAGAAGCATATAAAACTAACTATAGAGGTGGCAGTAAAAACGAACTGTGCTCTTGAACTTGAACCTTTTACGTCTATCTATAAAACAGTTGTGGACAGAGTAAGCGAATGGGGCTTATACTACAAGAAGTTCACACAGTGATCCACAACAGGAAAAAATACATTTTACATATAAAAAATATCACTGGAAAAATGTGCACAGGTAAACATACGAGCGGAAACTGTTCTTTGTATAAAAGTTGGTTCTTTTACACAATCCTCAAAACAGTCATTTTGAGTGCTTAAAAACAGACCACGGCTTACCCATCATACCTTGTTACTTATTTCATTCACAGAAAAGAGTTAGCATTGCATTCATGTCTTCATTAGTTCCGGTAAAAATACAACATTTTTATAATAAAACGCAATGCTGTTTCTTGCTGAAGCTCAACGTTCAACCTATCCACCACTAACCAAATCCACCTTGTCAGTATGTCCGGGTTTTAGCGATTATGAACAGCAGCTTGCTCTGTACCCTTCCCAGGAAGTTGAGATTGTTTCAGAATGATATCAGGTCTGCTGGGGTAATAGTATAGATTGTAAAGCACATGGAGCTTGCTGTTGAGAGGGAATTTGTGCAATACAAACATGCTATAGCTCGTTCACTTTCGTCTCACTGCAGTTAAAACGGGATAAAAACAAATCGCTCAGTTTAATTTTTCTGGCTCATTGCATGCGGGTCTAAAAGTTAAGCGACCAACAGAATCTAAAAGCTCACTCATAAAAGTCACTTCAAACTAAGGTTCCAACACGTTTTCTTTGATATAAGCCTACAGCGGGTCAAAAAAATAATAGGGGACTCACAGCATACACCTAAAACATTGAAAAGTTGACATATTTTCCTCAACGCCACTCTTTAAAGTTCGCCTCAGAAACACGATTCAAGAGACAAGGTGAGTATTTTTCGAGACTCACGTGGAGCACGTAGAGACGTCTAGACAGCTGGGGGATGAAATCTACAAGTTTACACTGAAATGTGGGGGCAGAGTGGTGTTGCTGTCTCTAAATAAGTAATTTGTAGGCCAGTCTACTGTAAGTAATTCATTTTAGTGATCCTGTGTATGCATCCAAAGAGCGGTTTTTAATATAGGGCCCAAAGAGAAGAACATTTTTATTACTGGGTGAAGATTTTTCGAAAAAATATTTTTGTTTGATCGCTGGCCTAAAGAAGTACCATGCAAAGTTTCGAGGACATAAGTAAATTCCTCAATGAGCTAGAATTTTTTTTTACACTGTCAGACAAAAGTGAACAAAGCTATACCTATTATTATTACCCTGGCCTCTGTAGCACAGTGGGTGGTGAACTTGGCCAACACATCAAAATTTTATATATATATATATAAAATTTTGATGTGTTGGCCTACACATTAAAATTTTTGAATGTCTCTCTCACAGTATTATTTTTTCTCCCACCTCTACATCTATACAGAGGACCAGACGCTCTGTCTTTATAATGAACAGCGCTACTGCATCTAGCTGGGTGTGGCAAGAAAAAAACTTTTTAAAAATCTACATCCCTTGCTACATTTTTATACAAAAATTATCAAATTGAGCATGATTGATTGTCAAAACTAGAAAATCCGTTTATTCAGGAATAAAACAAAACAAAAAATACCCTCCTTTCCCTCGAGTTTAACCCATTCGACCTGAACACACACATCTGAGTGTCTACTGTAGTAACCATTCAACTCATCAAACATACATACGCCTCCACACCCAGTCGACCTGAACGTACAACCAAGGGGAACCAGTGAAGTCGACACAGCTGAAAAATGTGTGGCGAGTTCTCCGAAACAAAAGTATCCAAATAACCGTGACCTCGTCACACCATATCCACCAGCCATCTTACACCATTTTCAACTTGTTTTATTTCATACAGTAAGGGCATGCAAATTCTTAACGGGTTTTATATATTGCACCAAAAAATGAGTCCGTTTTCTCTTTAAAACGTTGAAACCGAAAGGTTGACATGTGTAGATTCTGATTGAATAAACTCTGGTTTTATATTTTAAAAATATGATTAATTCAAGGTTGATACGTGTGGGTTTGCCTGTCAATCCACGGTGAACTCACCACACGTTTTTTCTCAAGTTGGAGTATGTGATGAGATAACTGTGACAAGTTCACTGAAAGCCCAACCAAGCATCTGCTTTAATTATCCTTCAGTGTCTCAAATATACGCCTCGGTGTATGGTGGTGGTCTAAATATAGCAGTCTTCACCCTCGAGAGTTAACTCAGACGCACGCGTCATGTAGGCTCATCTGACCTGAAGAGATACAGTCCAGTCCATTTATAACAGCCGCTGTTGTTACAGGAACTGGGATATAACAGTGATAAATAAAATCCCCGTTTTTTTTCTCTTTAAGTGTAAGTAATATGAACCTGGCTATAACAGGGTTCAATTTGCGCAGACTCGGATATAAATGACAGTGATCTTGCAGCACATGAACTTGCTTTCGATCCGTCAAATTATTAAAATTTGTCTCAATCAAGACATTTCGCCTGTTTGTATGATCGCTTGCTTAATAAACACAAACTTTCAAACACACACCTCCCCATAGTGTTGGGGGTCACTGATAGATTCCGTCTCAGTGTCAGCAAAACAGCCCACTGGAAAAGGATTTGTGGTAACCGAACATACAGTAAGGTGAAGATGCAATGATGCTGGTAGTGGTAGTTTCCTTTGATAATGGTTATACCAGGACTCACTTACTTATAACAGGGAAAAACTGCCGGTCCCGTGTGTCCTGTTACATATCTGAGTCTGACTGTAACTTTATCTGACTCAAGCGCTCCCATCAAGCATAATCAGACAAGCACTCGCTCGAAGCACAGATGGTGTATAACTACATGATACCAAGTACAGTGAAGTAATATTAATAATAACGATAATAATAATAACGATAATAATAATAATGACAATAATAATAATAATAATATTAATAATAACGATAATAATAATAATGACAATAATAATAATAATAATAAATACAAAGGCTGAGGCTTCATCATGAAAAAAACCATACAAACACAGATAGGTAACAATACATGATCTCATAAATATCACAGCCCGTGATGAAGATTCAAGTCGAAAAAGAATTTGGTTACGTCGGTTTCATTCAGGAAAATTCAGAGCGAGAGAACCCTCGACACGAAACTCTTAACTGTAAGTAATCACAACATACCGAGCTCGTAAACACACAGAGAATCAGTCCTCTGCGCCCTAACTGCACATCCCAACTGACGTCCTCAATGATTTATATATCGTAACAATATAAAAAGCCAGTCGGCAGACCATTGCAATACACACACACATACACACATAAATATAACATTCCAATACTCAAAAATACTTTGGATGGAGGCAAAAAAGCAATGACTGCTCATTTCAATCTTTGTGTCAAATTGAATAATAATCATAGTAGTAATAATAATCATAATAATAATAATGGTAATAATGATAATAATATTTACATCAGTGGAGTTATATAAAAATATAATGCACATAGATCTATATATATATCAAACTGACATCTCCACAGCAGGAACTCTGAAATCTTCCAATGGAATCATTTTAAAAGTCAGTGTGTAAAGCTCTGAGTCTGAGTTCAATGCACTATACATGATACAATGTACATGATTTCATGCGGAAAAAAAGTGAGTCAACGAGATCCCCGAGATTGCCATTAAAAGCGGATCAGCATCGAGCTGAAAACACCACACCATCAAACATCAAGTCGTACCAGCCTAGAAGTGGAAAAAACGGAGGTTTTAATAGAATGAAACTTAGGTACGTTTTAACTCTGGTGAGACCAGGACAACGCAGGTTAACAAAAAAAAATAAAAAAAATAAAAAACAAAGAAAAGAAAGAAAATAAAGAAAAAAAGAAAAAGGGGTGGAATTAATAATTAAAAAACAATATATAAAAAGAAGAAACATTCTACCCATCTTTTTGGGGATGGGTGCTACAAAGCATCGAATCACAGTTAATGCTACTCACAACAAACTCTAATAAACAACTTTAGTTAGCTTAAGCACTAATGATGATATGCGACTCCGACTGAGAATAGTTTGGGAGATTTTCAAGACTTTTCGGTATTATTTTACAAGAAAGGTTACATTACAAAAAAAAATTTAAAAAGTCAACTCACTAAAATGCGATAAAAGAGATTTGATACAGACTGAACAATATTTGAATTGCGTTCCATTAATATATCTCTATTGCAAATTGCCCAAGAACAGTCAATGAAACTTTTATTCTGATTCTAAATATCGATACAATAGCAGGAAAACAAGACTTTCCTACACGTTTTGAGATTGCACAAAACTCTCGTGATGCATGCTTCCCATAAATAAATAAGGGAACATTATTTCTCTTACTTGAACTAAAATGAAATCTTGTGAAATATCTGTCATTTACAACGTACTTAATTAAATCAATTGCACAAGAGAGATCAGGTCTGCCACACCTTACATTTGCTCTCACTACCTTTCAACACTCTTTTTTTCTTCTTCTTCTTACTGTCCCCATGGTTTTATGCACCCCGCATAATTTAGCAAAATTGGATAATTTTTTGCAGAATTTCTGATTATTTTCCTTTATCATTCTTTGTTAAAATTAACAGAATCGCATAATTTCCAATTTTTGGGCATAATTTCAGAACTTTTCTTGCATAAAACTACGGGGACAGTTCTTACAAGCATGGACTGAATTGAATTATAAATCTTATATTATAAAGATCTTGCTCCATCCTTTGGTATGGAACCTTCATTGCGATGTGAATCAAAATCTATAGGCATGTTGTTCTGACTTAATTAATTAAAGATACACTAACTTCATGTTCATAAAAGTTGAGGCAGGTTTGGTTGAGGTTTGGGTAGGTAATGTGATCTTTTGCTTCTACTATACAAATCAGTGTTAGACAGAAAAAAAAATGTAAAATGAAAAAAAAAAATCAGTTTGCAAATCAAGGAAGCTGTAACTTACAGTAAGTAGCCTAATGGTATTGAAACATGAAAATAAAAAAATAACCATCTTTACCAGACGCACAACTCTAGCCATCACCAACTGTGTTTACGACGCCATCAACTGAGAACAAATCAGGCATAGGATAAAGAATGATAAAAGGTCATGGCAGAAATTTATTTTAAAAGTACCATGATATGTCTTAGCAAAGTCAATTTGGAGTCTTATAAATATGTATTATATCTACCTGAGGCACATGTACATAAGACATGCATATTAAAGATAAAATTGATGTAAATTATTTCTAAAAATTCAACTAGATCTAGCATCTATGTGATATCAAGATCTTACAACACATACTAATTTTTTTAAAAGGCAGAATATTATTTGAGACATTTGCCTGATGATATAATAATTCGTTGCACAAAATTTCTGAAGCCCAGGTAGAAAAAAAAAGCCATCAAAATTAAATGCGACTGGTCTAAGAATACGGAACTTTTTAATAATAGCAATGGTTTGTTCTCAGTAATGAATAGCAAACAAATTTCTACAAAACCTGGCAACCTCGGGGCAGTAATTGTCAAGATGTGCTCGACTTGTCTTCCTCTCTGCCCCGTGACCTTTCCCGCCCTGAGAATGCTCGTTTTTTGCCACTGCTGCCTTTGCTAGAACTTCTTCCCCCACAACCTCTACCAAAAATTCTCATCCCTCCTCCTCCCCCTCCTCCTCCTCCATCGTGCTTTGATGACGTCTGATCGCCGTCTCCCGAGTGCTTCCATTTCTCCACGTCTGATTGGTTGTTTTTACTTTTACTTAATAAAAGCAGTCGGTCTTCGTGAGCGCCGTTGTTCACCTCATCCCCACTGTCTGACATAGCCGGTGTCTCATCCCCGCGCTTTTCTTTGTACCGTAATACATTTCTGTGTAGCTCTGGACTAGGCGAGGCGTCCTCGTTACCGTCTTTGACCGAGACGTCCAACGGTATCACGGTAAAACTCACATTCTCCACAACCGTGTCCTCATCTTCCTCCAGCTCCATCTCGTCATCGTCCTCTTTCTCTTTCACATTGTCTCTCGAACTTTTCGCACAAATCTTTTCATTGCTGTTGCTGCTGCTGCTGCTGTTGTGTTTCTCTTTCTTCTCATCCTCCTCCTTATCCTTGTCTGCGTTTTCCACTCGTTGCTCTTCCAGTCTCTTGTTCGCCGCCCTCGCTTCCATCTGCCAGTTCTCGCGGTTCTGTTGACATCCTTCCAACAGAGGGCTCAGCTTCGAGGAAACTTTGCTGATTGCCTGAAATACAAAATTATGAGCTAAAGCATTAGTGGGTGGTTGGCAGGTGCTCTGGTGTGGTTTGCTTCTTCTTTCCTATCAAACATCTACCGGTATTGTCCTTATCTCTCCTTCTTTTTTGTGTTTGTTACTCTCTTGTAACACCTCTAATCTTCGGCACTTGTATGACCTTATTGTGTTGCAAGTGCTGTGAAACACTCACTAACACTAAAACTAAAGCATTTGTTTTAGTAAAAAGGTTCACACCAACTTGCACATTGCTAAAAATGTGGGAGAAAAAAACGAGATAGACAGACAGAAATAAAAGAGAGAAAGAAAGGAAGTAGTACATTTCTAGTAGGACCGTCCAGCTGACTATGTATGAGCCACTATATATATAAGTGACTGCTGACAGTAACACAGAAAACAATATAATATATAGAAATAAGATTATCAGCAATATCTTTTTCAGCACCACAATCCAACCCTGTTATGATTTCATTGTCTTCTATAATTCCCCTTTCTTTTGTTTCAAGCGTCATGCATCATCATCTTTATAATTATTGCATGTTTGTATCATCCCAGGCAAAGCCTCCATATCTCGTCTTAATTTCAAACATTTTCCACATTTGAGCAAGATTTGTACCCATTTCCCTTTTCCCTGGGTTCATAAAACTACAGCTTGTTCGCTAAAACTACAGCTTGTTCGCTAAAACTACATCTTGTTCGCTAAAACTACAGCTTGTTCGCTAAAACTACAGCTTGTTCGCTAAAACAAGATGAAAAGGGCAGCAGTACTCAGTAATCTTGTTTCCTTGTGTCAGTTCTATAGGGAGCAAACAAACAAAAAATTTTTTTTTCGAGTTCACACTTTGCCACTTCACCTCACCGATTGGCGATGTTCACCTCGCAGTTTCTTTGGATTTTCTCCAAAATATGATGGCAAAGTGTTAAGCATAATGCAGGTAGGGCAAAAAGCCTTTTGTACTTTCTTCCCTTTGGACATAACATTGAGCTAAAAAAATAATTCCTTGGCTTGACTAGCATATTTGTCACACTTGCAAACGAAAACGTAATCAAGAGAAAAATGTTAAGTTTCCATGTTCTTTTTTTCACCATTTCTTCCAACTTTTGTATTATATTCTTGAGTTGCATTCAGATGAATTTCGCAACTTCATTGTAGTAAAACATATAGATAGGGCCTATGCATAATGTCACATTATTTCCTAACACACTTATTTCATTATTTATTTTATCAACTTTCATTGTTTAAATGTAATTTTATATCAGAGAGGACCAAAATGTTGTTTTTTAAAAACAAAATGAAGATGCCCAGTAACCTTTCAACATGTTATTAACCACTCTCTTCAAATGTTGCTTGGGTTAACAGAGACATTTATGCCTGGTAACCGTGTCATAAAAGAAAAGATTTCACCAGAACTTACGTCGTAGACAGGCATGCAAATGTCATCGATGAAGCCGACTTGAAGGTCTGGCAGTTTGTCGATCTGCTCCCGATCCATCATTGCCTTTGGGAAGGAGAGTATGGAAGGTCATGAGAACAGACACAAATAAATATCTTTCTCTTTCTTTGCTGTTTTTAACATTTTTAATAGCTTTTACAGAGATTAACATATAAAAAATACAAACGCACAGAACAATTGCAGAAATAGAAATGGAATATAAGATGAGTATGTTCAAACGTCTTTCCTTCTCCTGCTTCTTAACAGCTTACAAGAAAACCCCCCCCCAAAAAAAAAACGAACATACAGAACAATAAAATTGTAAAATAAAGAGGTCAGCATTTCTATAACTTGCCCTAAAATATCTCGGAGTATATAATCTTTTGATGATATTTCAGAAAAAAGATTGTTATCTTTTACATCTCTCTTATCGCGTCAGTTTGGTGGAAATAATATCATACTTGTAAAAGGACAACGCATAAAGCAAAAATGTCCATGTCATGATACTGCTAATGTTAAAAGGTTTGTTTTATTGTATGATGCAATTACTTTTGTGTTTTGAAAGATAATTTGTGAGGCGAGCCGACAAAATTAGTTACTTCTTGCAATCCACAAATGGAGATATTGGGCAAAATTCGACTCAAGGATCAAATCTGTAGATTTCCTATTGATGTCATATTTATTGTTTAAGAATAACATACCTTTCATTATTTCATGGGTGTAAATGGTAAAAACTTCACCTGGAAGCGTGAAGTATCTATTTCCTAAGGGCTCAAATCCGAGAAGTAACTCATTTTGTCAGCACGCTTCACATTTACTGGCTCCAGAACAAAAATTTGAGCATAAAAATGCAACCTTTAAGTTAATGCCTCTTCTGGTAAATGTTAGATTTGTACAACCACACTAGCCTTGCCTTTTCTAATAGAATTCACAGATGTCGAAGACCTCTCCTTTTTTAAACATATATATGGCATTGGGCTGACTGGCACATGATTACAGGCTACTAGGGTTATCAACAACAACAACAACAATAATAATGATTATAAATATAATGATTTTAAATATAATAAAATAATAATAATAATAATAATAATAATAATAATAATTTTAAATATAATAAAATAATAATAATAATAATAATAATAATAATAATAATAATAATAATAATAATGATAATAATAAT